ATTCTGTTACCCATTACCACGTTCTGTCTGCTCTAGTTGAGAATACCAGTTGGACGTTTCTAGCTAACTGCACCCCAGAACTAGCCTGGGAGCCATTTGCGAACATCATCACGTCACTAGTCATAGAAACCTCAACACCAAAAGTTTCCCAACATCCCCGCACAGCGAAATCATTCTTGCGAAGCCGGACGCGAAAATGCATGACTCTAAGGGATCGGGCATGGCGCATGTATAAAAGCAACCCCAGCGCAGAAAACTGGACGGAATACGTTTCGCATCGCAACTACTGTGTGCTTTTGGTTCGCGAAGACAAGAGAACGCATCAGCAGGAGCTAGCCAAACGATTCTGTTCGAACAAAAAGCTTCTTTACAAACATGTGAATGGACTTCGCAAGGTGCAACGGGGAATCCCACCACTTAATACGACCAATGGGTATACACATACTGCGAAGGAGGCGGCCAACACATGATGGGCCCAGTACTCCCCAATCTTCCAAGGTGTAGAAGCCTCGACGTATATTCCGCCACTACTTACCCCACCGTCCGTTTTATCCAACGTCACGTTCACTGCAGAAATGGTGCTGCAAAAGCTGCTGTCCTTGCGTCCACACAGCTCTCCCGGGGCCGATAACATTCACCCGAAATCATTACAGGTAGCTGCCATCCACTTGGCCGAACCACTAGCTGCATTTTTTCAGCGCTGTTTCAAAGAGAACATCGTACCTTCGAGGTGGAAAGAAGGTGTAATAACGCCCATATACAAAGCAGGAAGTCGATCGGATCCTGTCAATTACCGCCCCGTAACGCTTCTGCCTGTGATCGCCAAAGTCATGGAAGCGGTGATAGCAGATGCGTTAATGGGATACTTGGAAAACTACGGCATAATTGCGCCAGAACAGCATGGGTTTCGTCAACATCGTTCATGTACGACGAATCTGCTGATAGCTCGTGACAACTGGACCGAGACTGTCGATGAGGGCACAGGAGTCGATGTTGCATTCTTGGACATTTCGAAAGCCTTCGATCGCCTGGATCATCGAATCCTGCTCATTAAACTCCGACAGTACGGGATCTTAGACCCGTTGTTAGGATGGATCGGGTAACTTTCTCTGTGAACGGCAGTTAGAAGTTAGAGTTCTATCATCCTTTTCCGATCCGATTCGAGTGGGATGCGGCGTACCGCAGGGTTCGTTACTTGGGCCTCGTTTGTTCCTGCTTTTCATTAACGATCTAGTAAGAATTATTACGTCGAATTTCTTACTCTTCGCGGACGACCTCAAGGTTTGGCGGGCGATAAAACGATCGGACGACCATGAAGTCCTACAGCGTGACTTGAATGAGGCCTGGAATTGGTCGGTGAGAAACGCCCTGCCGTTTAATGTGAACAAATGTCGCGTTGTTCATATCCGCCATCGACAAGTCCACGTCTACAAGCTTGGGGCACACGATCTGAAGACCACCACTCAGGAACGCGACTTGGGTGTACTGGTACAGGAAGACCTCGGGTGTTCCAAACAGTCAGATTCCGCTTCTAAAAGGGGCAACCAGCACGTTGGACTCCTGCGAAGAGCATTCGGAATTTTGGATCCATCCATCTTCTGTTTGATACTGAATGCCTACGTGCGTCCTCACGTCGAATATGCAATCCAGGCCTGGCAACCCTGGCTAAAACGTGACCTTGCAGCGCTTGAGACCCCACAGCGTCGAGCAACGAAAATCGTCAAGGGCTTGCGCCACACTCCTTACCAGGAACGACTGGAGATACTCGGAGTGTTCAGCGGACGGTACCGGCGACTTCGTGGAGACCTCATACTAGTGTACCAGATATTGAGCGATCCCAGTCACGTATGCCGCCACCTCTTGAAGCTCAGTCCGAACACTAACCTTCGCGGTAACAGTTTAAAGCTGAGCCAACAGTACAGTCGTCTAGACTATCGGAGAACCTATTTCTCCCTCCGGGTCTGCGGGCCCTGGAACGCCCTTCCAAACTCAGTTGTTTGTGCCCCCACATTTGATATTTTTACAAACGACTGGGCATGGCATTGAGCGCCCCGCGCTTTTTTTTATGAGAAAAAACGCTATATTATGTTTGGCCTGCCTCTTTTGTTTGGATTCCTACCCTAAATTTACGAAAGTAGTTCTATCCGACCAGTTCTCTATTCTAATTTGCTTCGCTCCCAACACAAACGATATCATTTGCTTAGCTAGTGTCGCGCCGCACCACTTTATCCCCATAAAGTTATAATTCTTCCACTTTTTATCTCTCAGACTCTCTTCTCTACAACCTCTTATGTTTTTCCCAATTTTGTGAATATTTATTGCGCAACCCTGCGGCACTCGTTATGTGTATGTTTTTTACCCCGCCTAAACCATTTGTCTTATGTTCCAATGTCCGGAAACAAGCGAAGGAGCCAACCCGAAACCGGAGGAAGGTGGTGAATACCCTGCGCTTACAATATGCTGCAACCTTTCAGTGCGATTACTGGCCACCTAACCCCTGGAGATAGTTGTTTTACCCCTAAAACTCACTCACATATCCTTCTTAGCAAAAGCTGTATTAAGAAGCGGTTGAGGATGCGCAAGCACAACTCTCCTGGAGTTGATAATTTGCACACATATTCGTTAGCAACAGTAGGATAGAGTTTAGCTGAACCTTTGGCTCGATTCTTCCAACAATGTTTTGAAGAAATATACATGCCCGACATATGGAAACACGGGATGATTACTCTTTTTCACAAGAGAGGTAGTCGTTCCAATCCAACCAATTGTCGTTCCATAATCTTACTACTAGTTCTTTCAAAGGTCATGGAAGCTATTATTTCTGACACCATAACTGCACACTTGGGAGAATTTAACTACCTCGCACCGGAACAGCATGGATTCTAACGAAATCGATCGTGCACTACAAATCTACCACTAGCACAATGCAGCTGGACTGAAGTACTTGACTGGTACAGGAGTTGATGTAGTCTTCCTTGAGTTCTCAAAGGCGATTGATCTGTTAGACCATAACATTCTGCTCTTCAAACTCCAGACCTTTGTTATTGGTGACCCTCTCCTAGGATGGGTCAGAATCGTTCTTCTACACCGGGGCCTCGAAGTACCTGTGCGTGATTCGCTGTCAGATCCAACCCAAGTTGAATGCGAAGTACCACAGAGATCGGTATTAGGACCGCGAATATTTTTGACGTACATTAACGATGTCACCCTCATGATAAGCTCAAACTGTTTTCTCTTTGCCGATGACATCAAGGTGTGGAGGGCGATCAAAACATCAGACTATATCACAGTACTTAAGCTGATCTGGATAGGGTATACGCGTGGTCAATCCAGAATATACTTTGATTCAATGTGGCCAAATGTAGAGTGCTGTACCTACGGCAGAAGTTGGTGCAGACCCACCAACTCGGCAATCAGGAGCTTCAAACGTCTTCCGGCAAGAAGGATCTGGGAGTGTTCGTCCGGGTAGACCTAGGATGTTCGAAGAAGACTGAACCGGTGTCTTGGAGGGGCATCCAACATGTGGGACTCCTGAAGCGTGCATTGGGACTAGTCGCCCGTTAGGTTTTTCCACAAGTCCTCGGCTGATACATAAGGTCACATATGGGACACGCAATGCAAGTCTGGCTGCCATGGCTGAAGAGTGATCTCACTGCCTTGGAGATGCCCCAAAGCCGGGCAACCAAGAATATCAAGGGTCTGTATAATTTGCCGTATGAACGAAGGCTACAATTGCTCTGGTTCTTCAGCGGACGGTATGGACGATTACGCGCGAGCCTCATTTTGACATACCAGACCACACGTGTCGCTTCTTACTAGAGCTCAATCACAACAGCAATTTTAGAGGTCACCATCTCAAATAGGCAGAGCAGCACAGTCGTTTGGAATGCTGTCGAAATTTCTTTTCCGTACGCGTTTGCCGTACGTGGAATGCTCTACCGAAATCTGCCATATGTGCTCCCACGCTGACAGAGTTCAAAGCCCGAGTTGACGGTGCATTTATTTCCCTGCGCCATAATACATGACCCATTACCCATGGATAAACACAAGTGTCCGTAAGCGATTTCGCTGGCAGGCACAGCGCAGATTTCACTCTACGTTTTTCACCTCTATGTGTACATCACGAGGAGGCAGGAGTTTTACCAACATCCCATTTGCCGTCATTTCTTATGGATTTACTTTGTATTTGCAGTCTACACTACGTATACTTCAATGAGTTCACTGGTGTAAACACAATTTTGTTATCAATTTTTATATTTGGTAGTGTCACCATAATCAGCCTACGGGACCTGTTAAGCTTTAGTATTTTTACCCGTATAAAATCTTTGTTCCATTGTTCCATTGTACCTGTTAGACCTCAGGTGATATACATCTTTTCAATCACTTGAACTATTACAGTCAACTTCTGTTTGAGTTGAGGTAGGCTGCCAAATTAGAAACTGCAGACTTGCAGGTAAATAAAACGTGTTAGCTGCTTACTGCTGACGTTTGAAGGTAAAGCATTCAGTTATCTGGTTTACTCCCACGTTTGAAACTTGGTAACAGAAAACACAAACACTCCGCGAACGTTCCAACTCACCAGACAATTTTGTCTGTGTTTAGGAGGCGAATCGGTGCATGAGTGGTTGTTCAGCAAATTAGCTTCCATACTTTTTCGTTTCGCTATGCAACGCAACTTCAGTCGGAACATGCCCTACCTTTAGTACTCCCTTGTATAACATAGGGAGCTACCCTGCGTGTATACACATAGGTCACTCCCGTCAGATGAAATGCGCAATGCTGACCAATTCCGGAGGTATGACACGGCAGTTCAGCGCTTCACTGGGCGTGTGATGGCTGTCTGACTGAGTTAAGTGTTATGCATTTATTTTTATGCCATTCAGCCCCCTCTAATACTGCTCTGTAACACAACTTGCAGCAGTCTTATACACCCAATAAAGCAAAGTTAGTTGAACTTACACTCACACTGTTTTATAACATTTATTTCCTTATCCATTCAGGTCATTTGGGTATCGCTGGCAGACTGTGCAATGCTAGTAACACTTTTGAGGCCAACTCATGTGCTCGACTGTGTTGCGACAAAGGATATGACACATTCAACTTTGAGAGTGAAAGCAAGTGTGAGTGCAAGTTTATATGGTGAGTCAGGGTTAATTTTAACGCCTGTCTGCGTTCTCCACATGAAACGGAGTGTAGCCCATTAGAAGCAGGAAAGAAGTTGTGGTCATCACTGTAAGTCGCTGATTAGTTTCCTTCTCCTACCTTGTTGTGGTCCACCATTTCCCCTGGGTTTGCCGTGCTTACTCCGGGGGTGGAATGAGTTGGACTCGCGATCTGGCTGGCCCGTTTATTCGCAGCCTAATTATGTGAGACTCAATTACTTGTGCCAAGTCAACTGTGTCCCGCTGTCCCTCAACTGGTCGCCTGATTGACAACTTAGCCATGCTGATCACCAAATACCCAGCTGACATGATGCTTTTACTGGGCAACAAACAAGATGCTGTTCGTTTTGTTGTTACCGGATTTGAGAAGTTACCAGCTGGCTACGCCATTAAAGTGAATACGCCTTAGGTGTAAACTTTAACCGAGATGTGTTTTCAACCAACAAGCAGTTCAGAAGAATCACATTGCGAGCGATCACCGGTGAAAGGTAAGCAGTGGCTGATTGCCAGCATTACAGACAGCGTATGACGGCCGACGCAGCCACTTGAATATTTTGCTCACCCTTGGATCAGTATCGTTTAACCCTTCTTGGACATTTTAATGAGCTTGCAATACCAAATCCTTGAATGGAACTGGAGCTAATAGAGCCAGTACCCAGTGCCACAACCCTTCATACAACTGGATGTCGTTAAACGGACTGAGCGACTTTACCATTTCGATTTTTGATTTCGTATTTCTAACTAGTAGTTATTGAATATGATGTGCTTCCTTTTTACCCTCTTGCCCAGACACCTTGTCATAATAGTTAGTGATTGGAACGATTCCTCTGTTTATCATGCAATGTTGATTAGCAAACATCTGATTTGGTCACTGATCTGAGGTAGCGACCATCGACCTTCTATATATTTGGGATCACTCCGAAATAAAATCGTAATTTCCACTTCACATTTATCCAAGGGAATAGTCTGAAGAAAGGCTTAATATTACAGCATTATTTTATTTACCGGTGAAAAAGAATTTATGTGGCTGTATACTTACAGCGCCCAAGGATTTTCTGTAAAAAGCGAGACTGCTGCACTCGGTCGGGATTTGGCTAAATACCAATTTGCTACGAGGTCTCTTCCTCACTGTTTCTTGACATAAAAATATCGTACTATGCGCTCCGTTATCAGGTCTGACTGTGAACAAGAGAGTGGCCGCAAGCAAACTCCATCATTCGTTAATTGACAACACTTGTTGTCAGCATGTAAATGGAAGCTGACATTCCAATATGATCAGTTGCGGAAGGACGTGAATGTATCTTATAATTTTGTCATTCAGTTATGTACTTCATTATGACCATCTTCTGGTCGAGTTCCCATCAGAGGAATGGAGGCACTGGCCAGGCTAGCCCGGCCGCATATTCGGCAATGCATTGAATACTCTTCACTGGTTAGTTAAAAGCGCTTTCATCATGTGGTGTTTTTCTTCCGTCGCAGTGTCAATCAGATGATATTCATCTGAAAGTACTATGATGTACTGAATGAAACAGGACTAATATACTTTGCCTGTGTGTGTACTGAATCACGCTTGCTGAAACAACATTTGGCTACCCTACAATGCAGCCAAAGTTTATATGTTGTTACTCATTTATACAATAGATTTACTTGGTGTGCAATTCGTTCCAGCCTTTGTTGTTTCGGTCCACTTGCACAGGGTGAAGGATGTAATATCATACCGGGGAGGATATAATTTTGTAGCATTAGTACGCCACATGATTATTTTGTGGTTGTCGATGTTCGTTAGAAGACGGCCGCTAACAACCTCACAGATTTAGTCCAGTTCTGTCAAATTACATTGTGGGTCAAAAGGAGTAATTTGTTTGGTATCGTTGTGGAGACCAAATGCGCAAGTGTACACGAATAGTAGCCCACAAACCGTTGACTGTGGGTAGTTCAAGGGCCACTTCGTTTGAGACAAGAATTTGGAGACAGTGGTCTTGTTGAAAATCATGTGTTAGGCTCCTATACTAACACAAAATCATGTTTATATTACTGATCTTAAAGATGTGTTGTTGCTTTGGTGTTTGACAATGCAATCGTTACAGTCTTCTAAGGCACTGTATATGTAAGAAAACTCGTGTACAGTGCCCATGTCTTATCTATCCCAAGAAGCAACGCAAGCGGTACACTTGAAGCCAACCACTATTTTCGATTTAATCCTCGCCAGAATTAGACAAAAATATACGCAACGAAACGTGAGTTACTTTTTAAAGGCATGAAGATTAACTATTGAGTGGAGAAAATTAAGCTGTCATCATAACACGTCAAGAGGTCAAGTCGTTGAAGACACATGGCGCCGTTGAGTGAGATCCGATTTGTCTCTCTTGGTTGCTAACTAGGGCGATTGCACTGCGTAGAGGAGTTTTCTCTGAATGCTTTGATTCGGTTTATCATTTTGATGCATACCCCATCAGCGGTAGCAAGCAGCTGGGCCCCTGACCGGTGGGTTAGTTGAGATTCCGAAGATATCACCTTTGTCACTTAGTTAACCATTGTGAATCAGATGGTTAGTTGCTGCACTCAAATTATCTCTGCACCGCTGGCTGATGAACGAATTTGGCATATGTCCTTCAATTCACTTTTTAAATGTCTGATTATGCGTCAAATGTACCTAGCCCCATAAGAGCAGGTGACCCAATAAATAACCATCCATTGAATTTGATTAGGCGCTTTGCATTTGAATCCATGCACGTTTAACGATTTGCTTGTGAAGACGATGTTAAGTTGCACTACATTGATGGGCTTGTTGAAAGCCTATGTTCGGACCTCGGCGATGATCACAATCTCTCTCTATACATCTTCAATGTGGGTTAAATTAATAGTATCAATTTCATTAATTTTACGCTGTCCGTTGTGTTCCGTACCGCTTCGTCTAGATGCGCATGTTTAGTACAGCAGTAAAAAGTGCTCTCCCGGACACAAGTTGCAGCTTCTTACAGCCTGCAGTATACGATGATTAAGAAAAATATTGACGGTGTCAGCAATCTGGATTCGACTGCGTTCGTTTCGATGCAACTTGTCAGCAATAGTGATAATGACCGCGGGGAACATTTCGCCCATCTTAATGAAATTGCAGAGTTTCTTTCTGACCTTAAAGGTGGCCTAAGTTATTTTTCGTTGGCCCTTCTAATATATTCAGCAACGAATATTAATGCGACAGAAAAAACTAATACGTTTTCAGAATAAATAAACAAATAAATAAATAGCACTTCCATTTCTTGTCGGCGCGATAGGCTTTTCTTGCACTGAGACAGATCGGCTTGTACACAACTGTGTGTAACATTAGGTTTCACCTAAGAGAGGATTAGAGGAGATCATTTCGGCTTGAAAACTTGGCATATACATGAGTAATTATGTATGTTACATGATTATTGAACTAGTTAAGTTTATATCGGCATGACAAACTCATTGCGTTAAGGGATGGAAGCAGCTGAATATTCGTCGGAAAAATCCCCCGAGAAGGCTTTTATATATTCAGGTAAATACCTCCGTTATGGTTGGTTCTTTGGCTGTTGCCACATTTCAACCCAATAGAGAAAGAAAACCCACGGTTATTTATCTGGGGAAAAACGGCTTAATTAATGCGTCTAGACAGACATCCTGCGGCTTAATTTCTCAATTGAATCTGTGCATTTAGTTTTCATAGATCATTCACAATCTGCGATCCCACGAGTATTTTGGATTATTTTCGAAGAGTCATGTTGCAAGACAGCACAGAACCACCTATCACTCCAAATTTACGCTTTACCGTTGTGTGTGCTCACGGATCTCAACTGCCGTGGTGGCTTAACATCAAATGCAGCCGGTGACGGCACACTTTCACAGGCGTCAGCCTATCCGTCGACGCATCACCTGTGATCCCATGAGCCATTAGCGCGGGGTGAACATGAGTGGTTTTCACATCACTTAACCTTGGTATGGCTCAAACCGATATCGCATAAATGTATCAAATTATGTGAGTGATGTGACAACTTTTAACATCAGTCGATTCCCTCCGTCCTGATTTTCGGGGACGGAATAAGGTCTAGAATCCGGATGTGATAAATCGGATACAATACTGCGGAATTTATCAAGCTTACCATGGTAATTTACAGTGGAATCCAGTCACAATTCTTCTGCAAGACAATATTAGGAGATTTAAGTGTCTCACAATATCCAAATTGAAAGAACGCGCTACGAAATGTAATAACATTGGCGATATATAGCCAATTTATTCTCATGTATAGTCAATGCCACTGTAGAATAAGTTTTCCCCTATGTGTTAAATCCGAAGCACGGGTAGGATATTTTGCATAGTTAGGTGTTTCTTGAGAGCAGTTGTAATTGCATGCAATTTGCCTCAATCCCTGTCGTTTTAGAGCAATTTCTTCCAAGGGTGGGAGTAGGCAGTGTGAAAAATTCCATCGTTTTTGCTTTCGTCCATAAAATTGGGACATTAACACACATATCAATCGGGGACACTTGCAATTCTGCGTCATCCACAGATTTGCGCTTGCGGCGTGATCATCGTTATGTATGATTGTGAAGGAAAACATATGTTTTGTATAATTATTCACAACCGTATTGGGCATATATGTATATGTAAATGTATATATGTATACATGGGTGTACACATGTTTACATGTATGATTCGCTGAGGACGGTGTGGCTAGATCCGGACAGATGGTCTACCCACTGCTGCTACTGTTGGGCCTTTGGTTCATGTCCTGGACGCCTCCTCGTGGCGGCCGCTGGATGGGAGCTGGGTTACCCCCTTCTCCCTGCTAAGATCCAGGACACCAATCCGCATGAGTCGGCTAACTGACCATGTGCTAGACCCACTGCCTTTCGGGTGTTCATTTAATCGAAGGCTTTGGCTGAGGACCCGAGTCGTTCTCCTGTCAGGTGTGAGCGCCCTGCCAGCATCCTAGTACATCCTCTTCGGAGGTTAGGAAG